GATAATTTTCTTCTTGTTGATAAAACTAGTGAGGATTTGAAGGTAAGCTTGAATGAATTATGAAGGTCAACCTTAGAGTGTAAAGGTTTTCGTTTGAGCAGATCTAAATTGAATATATGGAATGTAATTTTAGTAGTAATATATCTAGTGGGGGGATTATGGATTTGGACGATCATGTCATTAATAAGAGTACATGTTTTAGATATCTTGAGTCTATTATTCAAAGTGATGGTGAAATAGATGTGGTTATTGTTAGAAGAATTCAGTTAGATGGTTGAATTAGAGGTATGCATCAAGCTTGTTTTGTGATAGAAAACAACCCCTCAAACTTAAGGGAAAATTCTATAAGATGGCGGTGAGACCTACAATGCTTTATGGCACATAATTTTGGCCATTAAAAGAGAAGCATGAAATTAAGTTGAGCGTTGCAGAGATGAGGATGCTCAAGTCGATGAGTGGCTTCACTCTTATAGAAAAAAATGCGAAACGAGTTTATATGTGAAAAAATTGGAGTAGCTCTAGTGGTAGATAAGATTAAAGAGAGTCGCCTTAGATGATTTTGCCACATAAAATGTCAGCCTTTTGATGACCTGTTAGGAGAATAGATGTTTTAGATTTAGCTATGTTAAGAAAGGTTGAGATATACCTAAAATGACTTGTTAAAAAATATTAGATATAATCTTTTTTAATTAGATTTAAATGAGAATTTGACTCTTAACAAGATACAATGAAGGAAAATGATTGATGTTGACATCCAACCGTCCATTCTTATCCGAGGAGCTGAAGATTGACGACCGTGATAATCCAACGTTATCTTAAATTTTTATTTTTATTATACGTTTTCTGTTTTTACCCTTAAGGGTCTAATCTTATGTAAGCCCTAGAGGCATGATCGTCTTATTTTAGTTTCTTTTTTTTTTTTCTGAGGCCTATATATAGAGGCCCTTGCTAGTGTAATTGTATGATGGATTAATAAAAAAAAAAATTGTTTCTACACTTTGTTCTTGAGAGCGATGGGAGTTCTTAGGAGAGTGAAGGTCCCTGTGGGAGAGATGTTGACCTCAGAACAAAGAAAAAAAAAAAAATCTCGCATACAAACCTTGCACCTAACGGATCCGCGAAATCTGCCCGAAATCCCGCCGAATCGCTGCACATTCGGCGTCGTTCAGGGATTCCTGTTCGCAGAGCCTCGATCCTCGCCTTCTCTGCGTCTATAAAACGAAAGGGTTGGCTCTTCAGTTTGCGACACACACGAAGCCGCTCCCTACCCGATCTCCTCCATCTCAAACCACAGCTCCCGATCTCCCCCATCCCGAACCCTTCCTCTTCGGCCTGCTCACAATCTCCTCTCCCACTCCCGACACCTTCTTCCTCTGCTCGTTCCATCTCCACAGCCTCTCGACTCCCAATCGCCACTTCCGATCTAAACCAGGGAGCCGACCTAGCTGCTTTCAATCAAGAGAGAGAGAGAGAGAGAGAGCTAACCCGACCTTGCTCTTCTTCCAGCCTTGCCCGCGCCTCTCCCAACCTACCTTCTCCGATCCCATTGCCGCCTCCTGCCCAAGCTTAGGTAAAGGATATATATATATATATATATATATATATTATGTCTAGTCGCCCAAAAATCACTTTTCCTTCTTTTTCCTTCGTTTTTCTCTCTCCTGGGCTTTTCTCTCTCTTCAAAATATCTCATTTCTATATATATATCCAGACTGATCGTCCCGGACGATCGAAACTTCGTCCCGGGACGAAGTGGCTCTGGACGAATTTCGTCCAGACGAGATTAATTAACGTCCCGGCGACTTGTCCTCGGGAGAATTTTCGTCCAGACGATGACAATCAACAACGAAATGTTTTACTAACAAATAAATGAATTCGAGGGATATGCAATGAACACAATGATATCCCACCAATCAATACAGGTTAACAATGATATCCCACCAATCAATACAGGTTAACAATGATATCCCACCTTCAAGGCCTATAACAATGAGAATTCACTATCAAGGGCATAAAGCCTACAAAATCCGATTCTCTATCGATAATTCGATAGAGTCGACCAGATTCAATCAATAAAAAAAAAATGACCCCAAACACCCCGATGATGGCTGTGTTGTATATAGATCTCAACCGGAGGGGTTTCCAAATATTTTCAAATGTCTCATAAATATTCAAAATTCATAGCTCCTAAAATACCCATAAAAATTCAAAAATCCAAAACTCCACAAAAGTCTCAAAAATTCTAAAAATATTTAAAATTTGAAATCTAACTATCAAATGCTTATAGCAAAATCCATCAACCCTCCACAATAGTTTGTCAGGGTGGATAACTTAAAAATTACTTCAGCTCACAAAGAGCCAAATGCCTAGTCAAAAATATCACTAGGATCCATTCTTAAAAAAAATCTCCTACCAGTAAGGACGTGGTACGTGTCCTCTAACCGGCAGTTTCGCCGCCAAATGGTACTGCAGGTAAACGGTTATGACCAGGGGCCCTATGAACCGAGTGGTTTTGCCGCCAAATGGGACCACGAAATATCGGTTATGACCAGCGCCGATACGTTCCTTATTGGCATCAAATCCTTGAGATATGAATCAATAGGATATGATCGACAGGGCACAAAGCCCTCTGTTAGCTAAGGTGGATTCAAATTTGTCCCATCAGACAAACATTCAACCCCGGTCTACAAGGTCCCCTTGGACGAAGCAACCCATGGCTGCCGACAAGGATCCTTCTGTCAGGTTGGGTCGACTATCTCTTCTGACTAAGTAGACTAGGAGGGACCACGATGGCCCGGGACGACGGAACCATGGGATCTTGATCGGGTCCATCATCCATTCCCCCACCATCCGCTTTAAGTGCAAGATGGTGCAATTTATGTTTTAAATATCATTTCCATCCGAATACCCAAATTCCCAAACTTCCAAACATTTCAAATACCTAAATCCATTGCTGCTATTATATGCTAGATAACATGTATACTCTACGTATCTGATCGACGACTTGCCTTAATCGAAAGTTCTCGCTCGTCATCTGGAGTGGTAATTAAATATAGGGGCTTGCGCCTATAGGAAACCAGAACTCAAATCATAAAGTCCTCACCAAATGAGGGCGAAATATCTGGGTAGTGTCTTATCTACAAACCCATCTGCTTTCCAAAATTTACATCGGAACTTATTCTGTTAAAACTCCCTCGCCGAATAAAAGAAAAGCGAGCAGATGCCGGGGCCGAATTTTCGGAGCCCACAAGAGAATCGTAGTTTCCACCAGCCACAGGATTGGTCTGGGCTCGTGGCTTGAAGTTCCTTAGTGAAGGGCAACGCATCTCCCGTCAGCCGCAAGAAGCGTTTGGGCTAACGGTTTTATCTTTTTCTTTGTTTTTACCCCCTCCTTATTTTTCCTTTAATCTCCGGCTAAATCTTCCACTAGCTGCTGGCTTTCTACCACCCATACTCTTCCCCACCACCCTAGTCCACGACCCAACCTCCATCGCTAGCCTCTTCCCCGCCGGATCCCAAAGCACCGGCCAGTTTTCCCCTGACCGCCGGTCTTTCCAACCTTTCCCCATAGGATCCTCAATTCCCTCTTTCATTTACGACCTTCCTATTTTAGCCTCCCCAATTTTGGCACTAGATTTGAATTCAAAATTCAAATTTGAATTTGAAAATTTTTCCTAAATTAGGTTCTCTATTTTAGGAAAGTTATTTAAATTATATCCAATTAAGTTTCTAATTGGATTTGATTTAAATTATTTCTTCCTAAATTAAGATCCTAAATAAGGCAATCTCTAAATCACTTTTCCTAAGCCCTAGTCCACCCCACCATGCCGCCGGCCTCTCCTCCACACAACCCATTGATTTCCAAATTCAAATTGCTTCATAATTATTTTCCAAATTTAACCAATCATTAATTTGGAAAGTCTTTTATTTTGAATTTCAAAATCTTTCCGGATTAGTTAGACTAATTTAGGACACCCCCCCAAAAAAAAAAAAAAAAAAAATCTCTCCAATTCAGAATTTTAAATTCATATTTATTTTTTCCAATCACATTCAATGCAAGGGTCCACATACATCGAATCTAGACACCCCCTTCCCTCCCTCATTGGACGGCCCCTCTCTCTTCTCTATCCAAATTATTTTCTCCCTAATTAAGAGTCCAATTAAGGAGATAATTAACCCCTCTCTTCCCTCCCTTCCTTTCTTGTTTTAATTCAAATTCAAAACCCTTAATTAAGGGAAATTTGAAATTAAATTTCTGATATTTAATTTGATTCACCTCCCTCCATCGTTCTACATCAATGATTCATATAGCTGTCCCCACATAATGGGATAAAGGTTTGATGTTGTTGTTGTTGTCAGTTTCATGTTCATACATTGTTCCTAATTTAATTTTCGATGCATTAACTTTTAACTCATGTATTAAATTAATATCTAATTCATGAAGGTCAATGTCATGTCTGTGAAATTTTAAATGACACAACCATACTATGTTCATTCATTTAATCATGATGAAATAAATTAGGATAGTTGTAGTGAGAATTGTGTCTGTCCAGATTGTATGCATTTGTGACGCATTATGATTGTCTGGAAGAGTGGTGAAAAAGGAGCATGACAAAGTTGGCTTAGTGCAAGATACTCTTCATTGTGGTGATTGCTAGAATATGAATACTTTGAAGGGAAACATTTAGCAAACCATTCCCTATAAAGGTTATTATCAAATCAATAGTAGGTCACACACGAGTCACTTAGGCTCTTGGAATCAAAATATTATGACTTGAAGGTCATGGGTTTAATTCTTTACAATAGTTTTTATGTCAAAGAAAGGTAAAATCGTTGGACATCAATCCCTCCACAGACCTCTTATTAATGGGAGGTTCATGCCTTGGATGTCGGTTATTTTTATTATTTTTAAATAAGCTATTCACTTGTGTTCCTGAAGCGGCTACAAATTTTGTTATTTTCATGCATTTACTTATTTTATTATTATTTGCTTCTTCTAGGATGTGGCAACTGATGCTCGAAAGTGTAGTGTAGAGGTTTTGTGCATGCTTCTATCGATTTGTGCTTCCTTCCATAGAAAAGCTCTGGTACAAGTTGAGCCTGTTATTGAGATCTCAAGGCATTTGCTGGTGGCCCAAAAGGAGCTTGGACTGTGCTATGCTTTTGAATTTGTGAATGTAGTTGTCTCTGCTTCTGTAATCCTCGCTCAGGTGGAGTTTGAACATGATCAACTTTCTGTTCTAAAGCTTCTAATACTTCTAATGGAATGGAAAACAGAAGGTTGGTTGTACATTCGAATCTGTGGTACTTCAATGATCTGTTTTAATGCTTGTGTAATTATAATAGTTATGTTGGAGATGCTCTGATGAGGTTTCTAAATGAAATAATTGCACTACTCATTATATAGGACTTGCATTTGATGTGCTTATTTATCGAATATTCATTGAAATTTACCGTTATAAGTACCTTGCCATTATTTTTGCAACTTAGAATTCTAATAAATATCTTTGGGATGCAGTTTTTTAGTTTGTACTTTCTTATCATAGGAGTAATTTAAAGGTATATTGCATTTTTTTTTCTCTTCAGTCGGGTGTTTTGAAGTGCCATCATTTATTGCATGTGCTTATATTATTAGAAGTGTGGGCAGAGAACAACAGAAAAAGTCAAATTTATTTCATAAATGGATAAGGTTTCAAGGGACGAGAGCAAATTTGCTATATTTTCTTACAAGTGAATTAGATTCTACTATTCTAGGGATTGTTACTTCATAAAACAAATGTCATTCAAGTAATTTTATTCTTAGTTTCTTTTTTGCCCTACAATTTTTATAACCTCAATCAAGTCCCTCAAGCTGATTATTTGTCTTAAGGTCACCGTCAAGAACAAGTCTATTCATGCATGTATATAAATTTTTTTTTCCTTTTTATCTACACGATTGTTCTTATCATAATGAAATTGAGAGTTTAGATAATATGCAACAACATATATGTGTTGGTGTAATTGGTGATTCTACTTTTCATCTATAATTTCTCAAATTTCTTTGTAGGCACTTTCTTGACCTCCCAAATCTCTTGCTTTTTTTTCTTTAGTCTTATTCATAGCTTCATAAATAAATCTCATTGCTGGGGTCTTCTCATCATCGACCATTCTTAGTAATTTTTATTTAAAAGTTTTATAGTCATCAAAATATAATTTATACTACACAAAAAATAATGATCTTTTATATTAATCTTCTTCACTTGTTTTTTTGTTTTTGTTTTTTGTCCCATAAACTTCTATTCTCTTCTTTAGAAGCAAGCATAGCTTTTAAGGGTTGCCTTAGCTTCTTAAATCTTTGCAAAATCAAGCAGTTGGAAATCTAGCGAGAACAAGCCGAATAATTTCTTTATCAGTGAACTTTCTCATTAAACTGAGCAGCAAGAGTGATTATAAATAAACTTACTAATAAATTTTGCCTTCAACAAAACATTTCTATTGTAACGACAGTCTCAATCTCTTAAGCATCAAATCAATGTAGTTTGCAGCACATGGAGTTTAATAGAGATGTTTCTCGTCTCCATTAAAAATCTCCGTGTAGTTTTGTAGGCACTTGCACTACTTTCTCAACAACCTCATCCAACATTTGAAGCAATAATTGTGCATCTTCAAAAAAATTTAAGCATTAAGATATTCATTAATTGAAAAGAATTGAGCACATGAAAACTTTGCACTATTTCGTATCAAATAGAGCACATGAAAACTTCTTCCCAATTTCAACAAACCCTTCCGGTTGTTCCTTATAGATAGTTTCCTCCAATTCTCCATATAAGAATGCGGTTTTGATATCCAATTATTCAAGATTCATGTCCATTTGGACAACCAAGGAAAGGAGCACACGAATTGATGTGTGCCTTACAACTGGTGAAAGATTTCTTCATAGGCCATCCCCTTTTATTTTATGAATCCCCTTGCTACAAGCCTAGCCTTGTACCTAGGCATTTCTTCAACATCAACCTTTTCCTTTCTTTTGAATAGCCACCTACAAGAGACCAGCTTCTTCTCTCTTGGCTTCTCCACCTAGTCCCAAGTGTGATTATTCCTTAAAGAGGTCATCTCCTCTTCCATAACAAGCTTTCATTCACTTCTCTTCTCACACCTCATTCCCTCCTTGTATGTGGTAGGTTCATCACATTACATAGAACTAGCTAAAAGAGCATAAGAAATCATATCAGCAAATTTATACCTTTGAGGAGCCTTGGTTAAGCTGAGTTTTGTATCTAGCCAGCCCATAACTCCTTTGCAACTCTATGGATTCGTCCTCGATTTCTTCATTTTCAGCAGCAACAACACCTTTAAGATTGCTTTCCAACACTTCTATTTCTACATGATGTTGCTATCCTGAACTAGAAGCCCTTGAACACCTCCCAATAGTTGTAGGAACTTATGTTTCATCCATAGAAACTAACTGAACCCTTTCAGGAGCAAGATCAGCCATCTCATGTTTATTAAAAGTGACATTCTTGTTGATTATGCACCTAGGATGTTCTGGTTCCAAGCACCGAAGTCTATAGTCCTTCACATTTTCAGGTTAGCCTATGAAAATGCATTTGATTGCCCTTGGTTCCAACTTTCCTTGCTTGATGTGAGCATATGCTATACATCCAATTACCCTGAACTCCTAGTAACATGCTAGCTGTCCACTCCACATCTTTTGAGGGTTTTTTTAAGTCAATTGCATTTTAAGGACACCTATTGATAAGGAATACAACCGTGCTCACTGCCTCGGCCCAAAATGACTTAGGAAGCCTTGCATTGTCCAACATACACATCACCTTTGCCATAATGGTCCTATTGAATCTTTTGGCCAACCCATTCAGTTGAGGAGTGTGTCTCACAGTTAGGTGTCTTGCTATGCCATGCACCTTGCAAAACTCGAACTCATTGGAGCGAACTCCAATCCATTATCAGTTCTAAGCTTTTTAAACTTCTTCTCGACTTAATTGTCCACAAGAACCTTCCATTCCTTGAACCTATCCAAGGCCTCATTCTTGTATTTTAAAAAGAAAACCCAAAGCTTTCTAGAATAATTATCAATTAAAGAAAGAAAGTACATTGCTCCTCCATGAGACTCATGCTTGGTTGGCCCTCACAAATCATTCTGTACATAATCCAAAGCTCCCTTAGAATTATGTCTTGCGTTTCAAAATTTTAGCTTTCTTGCTTTGCCAACTATACAATGTTCACAAAAGTCAATCTTCTTGGGCTTCAAGCTCCTAAATGCTCCTTGCTTGTGCAACTCCTCCATTCCTCTTTGGCTAATATGTCCCAACCTTTGGTGCCATAATATAGTCTCATCCACTTGAAAACTCACCAAGCTAGCTAATCAATGTTTTTCCTTGCAATGTATATACACCTTTCATTCTCACACCTCTGAATATAATAAGTGAACCCTTGGACACCTTGAGACTTTATTCCTCACACTTAAATGTGTTAGATGTTGGTTCTTATTTGACATGTTAATTCTGTTTTTACTTAAATCTTTGTTTTTAGGCTATTTTACTTTTTTTTCCCTTTTGGGTTGTTTAGTATAAATAGAAGAAACTTGCATTGTTTTATTAAGCCACCCACCCTCTCTCTCTCTCTCTCTCTCTCTCTCTCTCTCTTTTGACAGAGATAGCCAAACAGCTTGGCTCTCTTGATCCAGTCAAGAAAGCAAGGGTGAACCGGCGGTAGGCAGCCAGAGAGCTTGGCTCTCGGTCCAGGAAGAAAAGCAAGGGTGGAATCGACGGTGGGTAGAGAGAGAGCTTAGCTCTCGGTCTAGGCAGGGAAGCAAGGGGAACCAGTGGTGGAGGTGCAGCCGCCAGAGGGGGACCGACGGTGAGAATCTGTGGTGGATTCAATTCAAAACAACAAGGTAGGATTTAAGATATCTTCCTTCAAGGTTTTCCCATAATTGGTATCATAACTTGGTCAAAAAAGATCAAGGGGAAGGAGGAAGATGTTTCTTGAAATCAAGAAAAGGAAATTTTAGCAAAGCGGTGGAGTTTCTTGGCAGTTTTTTTGGACAATAGGTGGAACTAGTGGTGGAAGCTTTTCTAGGCTATTATTTGTGGACAACAGGTGGAGGAGAAGTTGGTGGAACCAACGGTGCAAAGGCTATTCTTTGTGGACATCAGGTGGAGAACAACAGTTGAAACCAATGGAAGAAGCCTTTTCTGGGGTGTTTTCTATGGAAAACAACTGGACTGAAGAGCTGCTGCAATATTTTTGAAGGAAAGATGTTCGTGACTAAGCTTGAAATTGAGAAATTCATAGGTTTCAATAATTTTAGCCAATGGAGGTTGAAGATGAGGGCTCTTCTAGTTCATCAAAGTTTTGATGCTGCCTTATCAGAGGAAGGGATCTTGGGGATAGAAGAAAGATTGTGTAGGGATGTGCTTAATAAGGCACATAGTGCAATCGTTTTGTGCCTAGGAGAAGAAGTTCTAAGAGAGGTTGCTGATGAAGGAATGACTATAGAGATTTGGACAAAATTAGGGTCTCTATATTCAAAAGCTCTCTAGCCAATATGCTTTATCTAATGGTTGATTCCAAGCCCTTGAACAAGCACTTGGATGAATTCAACTGGATTATCTTGGATTTGAAAAGCATATGAGTGAAGATTGAAGATGAAGATCAAGCAATCATTCTACTAAGCTCATTACCTTCTAGGTTTGAGCATTTTGTGGACACCTTGTTATATGGGAAGGAGACCCTTGCTATGGTTGAATTCAAGATTGTACTCAACTCCAAGGTGATTCAAAGTGGGGGTTGAGATGAAGCATGAAGGGGTGGTTGATGCCCTTGTCGTGAGAGGTAGACCCAAGAAGTGGGAAGCTAATAACCATGCTAGATCCAAGTCTAAAGGTAAGGTGAAGTGCTTCTTTTGTCACAAGGAAGACCACTTTAAGGGGCAATGCCTAGAATTGAAGAACAAACATCAAATCCAAGAAAAGAGTAGTAGAGATGCCTCATGCATGGAGAAAGGGTATGAAAGTTCAAATGCCCTTATAACCTCAAATATTGAGCCTAGCAAGGAGTGAATACTTGATTCCGGGTGCTTTTACCACATGTGTCTAAATTGTGGGTGGTTTGAAGAGTTGGAAGAGAAGGAAGGAGGTTTAGTGTTCTTAGGGAATAACAAATCATACAAGATCCAAGGATAAGGCAACATTTAGTTGAGGCTCCATGATGGATTGGAGAGGATTCTCAAGCAAGTAAAATATGTATAAAGTATAAACTTAAAAGAAGGGGGAAAATGTAGAGGGAGAGAGGAGAGCTTACAGTTTTAGAAGAAAACAAGACTGATTTTTATTCACTTCCAAACAATATAAGTCACCCCTATTTATACTAAACAACCCAAAGGGGCAAAAAGGTAAAATAGCCTTAAACAAATACTTAAAGTAAAAACAGAATTAACATTTCAAATAAGAATCAACATCTAACAAAATATTTAAAATTATCTATCTTTCGGTCAAATGATTTCTTTTTATTTCTTATTTTTTTTTTGTGATTTATTAGATCAACTACTTAATCAAAATCATTCTCTTCCCTAATAAATGGGCCAGCTCATGAGCCGATTCCAACTTGTAGAATTGAGCTTGTTTGTGAGCTCAAACCCAATTAATAAATCAAGATTAAGATCAATTGAGCTCGTTTCGACACATTTACATCCTTCCATGGGGACACAATAAATCTCAAACGGTAGGATACAAACACATTTGTATGCGAAACACACATATGAAGATCATATCATGTGAAGGTCGTCTTATTATTTTGATGTTAGCTCCAGACATGATTCATTGATAGCAATTTTTCCTTTGTTCTTTATCTACATTTAAAGCTTTTCATTTTTGTTCAAATATAAACTGGTTGGTCATATCATATGATGGCTTGATTTCATTTACGTCTAATATAAAATCTTGGTGCCTCCTTGCTCTTCCCTAGTTATTTTCTTTTGCCTAACGTAAGGATGCTTTTATAATGGCCATTTGAACTATCAGTAATCATTTAAATTAGATTTAGCAAATTTCGATAGAGGTGCTTTTGGTGCAAGTGGAATCCCCAGGCCTATATTGTAAAATCCCTCAGAATTTCATTTTTTTGGGTGCAGTTAGTCTGTACGAACTAACTTTAGTACGGACGAACTGAAGAAAGTTTTGAAAATCTGTATGGTTTGTACGTACGAACTGCCTGTACGATCTGAGTAAAGTGCATGTTCGTCCGTACGAACCTGAGTTCGTCCGGGACGAGCAGAACAAAATTTTTGCTCGAGAGTATTGTCCAGGGACCAAATTAATTATCGTTTGTACGCTCGTGTCCAGAGAGCTTCTTCCCGGGACGAATGGAAAACATCGTCTGGTCGATCGAGTTTATTAAATAGATGATTTGAGATATTTTTGAAGAGAGAGAAAGCTGGAGAGATAAAGAGAAGGAAAGAGAAGAGGAAAACTTGGTTTCGGAGGCCGCAGAGCGATTTTCATCCGTCGACGCAGTTGGAAGAATTGGTCGACTCGTAGTAGTAAGGAATCTGAATCCTATTTCTGATTGCGAAGATTTCGTGTTTTGGTATTTTTCTGCTCAGTTTTGTGTTTCCGTTACCAAAAAACGTGCATAACTTTGTATTAACGAAATTTTTACCGTGTAACTTTTGGTATGTTTTAGAGATTATGATTTTACATGTTTTGAATATTTTCTAAAGATTTTTCACCAGGTATTTTGAATTTTGTGGGATTTTTATCGAATAGAAAATTATCAAGATGTTGAAAAATATTACTTCAGTACAAGAAAGTTTTGAAACGTTGTTTTACACGTTGCTTTACGAACTTTTATACTGTTTATTGATTCTTTTACTGATGATTATAAATTCACATGTTTCTGTATTGACTACCGTTTCTGTATTGATTAATGTTTTTGTACTGATTCCTATTTCTGCATTGACTCAATGATCATGTGTAAGTGACTGATATGATTTAACTGATTGACATGCATATTGCTTTCATACCATGCTTTGATTTCAGTTGTAGGTATTTGGTGACCTGCTGGGCTTTTTAAGCTCATTATATGTGGTTAATGATTTTAGGTCAGGGCAAGGGAGCGGGAGATTGAGGTTTATAAGGAATCTTCAAGTTTTTGTTCCTTTTTGTTATAGTTATTCTTTTGTATTTAGGACTGGATGGATTTGTGATCATTGCTGAAGATCCTGGGTGTTGTAAATGACTTTTGGAAAATGGAAATATAATATTTACTTGATGTTTTAAATTATAGATTTTTGTTAGACTCTTTAATACTGATTGATGACTATATATAGCTATGGTAGAAAATTGATTTAAATGATTGACTGAATAATTCTTCCAAGTTAGATCTTGGGGCGTGACATATATCTTGCTCGCTTGTCATATAATCTGCTCTAACGTGCTATACATTGTCTGTTTTGCTTAATGTATGTGCTGACGTTTGTCTTGAAATCATTAGAAGCTTTGTTAATGTTGCAGAGTTGAGTACCAAAAGAGCTTCATGCTCTCTCGGTGAAGAGCTTCTCATAGTTTTCCCTGTTATCAACCTTTTATCGTCTCCATCTAAGCCTGTTAGAGCAGCGGTCACTCATTTGCTTTCACTAGCTGAAAGTTTTGTTTTAAATTTCATGAGTGTTTTGAAAAAAACAGAAGTTTCTTTCACCGACTGCCCCATTCTGATTGAAGCGGAGACTATTCCTTTGAGGCTTCTCCATCATCTTTTCACTCAGGTTAGAGAATGTCTTTTTTATTTTTATTTTTTGGTTGTTTATTCATTGTTAAATTTTGAGTACAATTACACTGAATGCCTGTACTTGCAAATGCATTTTAAAGTGCTTTTCATATCATGAATTGCCAAAAATCTTGAATTTCCTTTTTTTTTTAATTGGTACACATTTTGCTGCAATACCTGCAGTTTTTACTGATTTCTGTGTCCTCTTTTCTGTTCTGTAAATGCACGTCTTCCTTTGATTATATGCAGTCAATCAGGATCATTTGTGTTGAATTTCTTCTTTTTGGTTTTCTTACAAATGCAAAAACTGTATTCTGGCTATTGCTTTTTGTTCAAACAGTTTTGTTGGCCCTAGGATATTTTTACAATTTTAATCCAGTATTTATTTATTGGCTTAATGTGACCTTGTATTTGGATTTTTTTCTTTCCAATTGTATAGTTTTTAGACCGGTAAGTTTTTTTTAATTAAAGTGCGTTTTTCTTGTGGTAAATTACATATCTGCATTCAATTTCTTAATATGTAAAGGCCAGTCATGTTATCACATTTTTGAAACTCTGTATTGGGTCTCAGTGATGTAAGGAACACTTCACCCGGGCCTTACCATAACAGAACAATTTATAAAGAATAAAATGTAAAAAATGTAGCTCTCTTTTCCCTCTAACCTATTTCTCCCTATACATGAGCTCATAGCCCTCTATATGTAATTTATTGATGGCAGCAGATTATGCCAACAAGCTTGTCATCTATGATGCACACACTTCTCCTCAAAGAGGCATGCAGTGTCTGACACTTATCCGACATAACACACGTCCGACACACCTCGACATGTGTCAGACACGCCAAAAAACGTGACTGATTAAAAAAATATTAAATACAACGAACATGTATTAGTTCATTTGTAACTTTCAAAAAATTTAACACTTGCTCTCACACTTATGATTTTTGTAAGAATTTGCTTATGTTGGTGGTTGGGCAAAGAATCGTAAAATTTCTACCTCTTTTTCTTTAGCATCTCAATCTGAATGGTCCAATGCCCACCGTGAATGATTGGTTTAAGTAGAAGGTTGCATGAATTAACAACAACATAGGTGATATGTTCGACATACAAAGTCACTGCTGGGTCGATTTGCTTGTAAGCCGGCAAGAAGTCAAAATAAGGACATAGAAAATGAAACAACAAAAAATATTATATAGAAATGAAGCATGTATACTAGCCCAATACATTGACGAGACGTATAGAAAGTTATGGTACTTGTGAGGGCTAAGTTTATTCTTCTCATGTAACAATAGGGTGAATGCATTTATATGATTATTATCAAGGTATTTATCTAATATTAATTAATCAATGTCAGTTCTACAAATTGTGATGTTTCCAGAAGCAAATATTGTATCAAACGTGCAAATACGTAGTAAATACTTAGTTAATATACAATAAATACATAATAAATATGCAATACATACTCAGTAAATATATAGTAAAAACGCAACAGCAAAAACATAACAAAAATGGAGTAAATAACTTTGTGTTGCAGAGTTAACTTGTTAGTGAACTTCTTAAAGCATTCATCCAGAAACAATATATTCTCATTGCTCAGCATCTCCTTGCCCTTGTATTCCATTATTATACTTGCAGGTTGAGGCAGTATTTGAACGTCTTTAATGCTGATTGGTTCAGCTAGGGCATGGGTCTATGTTTTCTGCTTCTTCCCATCCTCCTCTTAAGTATTACCAATTCCTCTTCTAGTTCATCAACTACTTTCTCTTTGTTGATGATAGGAAGAACAATTGATTCATCAGGGGCTTCTTGCTTGATTTGGAGTAGAGCATGTATTCCTTCAGTTGGGATGCTATCCTTGTAGGATGAGGAGGGAGTAGGTTGTTGCTCAGGATACATTTTGCATTGAGCAATGTGATGATTGAGCTTGTCATTAATTCATTATACTCTTTCGTCTTGATGCTCAAACCTCCTGCTCAACCTAACTTCAAGTTCATGGAAGAACTTTGTGCAAATATCCTGGATTGATTTATTCATTTTCTCATGGAGAACATGCAATGCCTGAGTGGAAGTTGGAAAGTGTGCTTGCTTAGGAGATTTGGGGGGGGGGGGGGGGGGGTGGGGGCATCTGGGAGGAGGGGGGTTTGATGGGAGGAGGGGGGTTTGATGGGGAGAGTGAGGTGTGTGGGTGGAGAATTCTGAATTCTGTTCTTGCAGCTTGAGAGGGTATTTTCTGAGGGGAAGGAGGAAGGATGCGTGATGGATATTTGTGGATGTTAAACAGCTTGTCTGCTTCCTCCTAAGTAACTCCCTAGAGGGCATAAAAAATCTGCAAAGAATTTATTGTTAGCAAATCCTCATTCTTCTTAGAGGTTTTAATTGAAATTTGAAGCATGATAAATTTGTGTATTTACTTGTCTTTCCTTTAAATTATCAAATAAATTAGAGGTATTTTTGAAGTTATATACAAAATTATCGCCCTACAAAGGAAATGGGGCCATTGGTTAGGGTACTCAGGGGCATGAATTAAAGCGCACTCAAGGAATCAAATCTATATAAGATCAAATATTATTTTAGCAAATGAATTAATAAAATGAAATAAAAATGATAATGAAGATCTTAGCCCTCACAAGTAGCAGAGGCACAAAATCATTGATGTAATTAGCTGGCTTGTGCATTGCAATCTTCCTAGAGGTTTTATTAAACTCTTCAATTAAAAATTCTCTAATAGACCTCGCCCTGTTAATTGATAAAAACTTATATACATTATTTGATATTGTATGGAGCCTCCTAGGGGTTTGAAAGTTATTAAGTTGGAAAAGTAAATTTGAACACAAATAAACAATAAATATTTTAACATAGTAGATTGGGGGGGAGTTTGTCTGTTCAACTCCAGCATTTTACTCTTTATTTTCTTTGATGAGACTCCTATAGGTGCAAAGTGTAGGCAGGAGATCTCTTCATCTTTGTTTGGTAGACCAGTAAGAAGGGCCAATTCATCAGTTGTGAACGGTATAACATGACCTTTTATTATAAAGCATTGTCTTGGAATACCACACTATCAGAGGAGCTCGTAAATCAGTGGGATTTTCTGCTTGAGAGCAGTGAATTTTAGAAATTGGTAAATATTTAATCTTGTTAAATCTCAACCTCACGATCCAAAGAGAATCCACGGCTGTGAACAGTAATCCGTGGGAAGACCGCCTGGATCACATTAATTCCTTCCATAGTTGATTTATTGATTTAGGAATGATTGTATTCTCATTATTCTTGAGTTATTTGTTTCCTTATCAATACACCTTCTATAGATTTATAAATAAGGAGTAGATTGCATAATAAAATTCATGCTTTTCCCTTCTCATTCATCTCAAAGTAACATGGTATCAGAGCCGAAAGAATTGAAGAAGAGGCCTTCATAGCCGCTAAAAAGAACGATCGAAGATTGTCGGAGGAGGAGAAGAAATCAGCGGACGAAGCTTGGCGAACTGATGGAAGCCGAAGCCGCAAGCCATGCCAGAGAGACTAGCTGAAGAGGCGACCCGTAACCCTGATCCAAAGTTCCGATCCGACGGGAGGAGCAAATCGTCGAAGGAGGAGAGTCAAATAGCCACGAACGAGCCAAATAGGCGACCCGTGAATCAACGAAGCCGCCTGATTTTTTTTCTTTCCCATAGAAGCCGGCCCATGCCCTATTATAATCTGAGCCTTTCAAAGGCTAAGGTCCGGTTCGGTTTAATAAAACCGAGAAAAAAAAGAGGAAAAAAATGCTCTTATTTCGACCTTCATTGTCGAACAAAAGAGAAAAAAAAATCCTGGGAAGCCTTCATTGCTATCCAATGTCAGAAATTAATTCCTCCCAAACTGTTAATCAAACTGAGGAATCAATGGTGCACCAAGGACGAGGTGACCTTCAAAGCATGCAACCTTCCTATCATCTAAATGAGAAGAACTACCTGAAGTGGTCTTAATTTGTGAAGACTTACTTGAGGGAGAAAGGTAAAATACATCACCTCCTTGGAGGAGGACCAAAAGAAGGAGATCCCAAATTTGAGGCATGGGATGAAGCATACTCTATGATTATGTCATGTTTGTGGAATTCTATGACTCCAAAAATTAGTGATACATTTATGTTCATTTCCACTGCAAAAGACATGGGATGCTGTCAGGCAAACCTTCTCCAAAATTCGCGATGAGGCTCAAATCTTTGAAGTTAAAGTCAAAGTTGGAAGCACAAAGCAGGGGAGTAAGACCATGACGGAGTATGCCACCATTCTACATAATCTGTGGCAGGAACTTGATCATTATAGGTGCATAAAAATCAGATGTCTGGAAGATGTTGCGATCCTAAAGAACTTTATTGAAACAAATAGAGTTTATGATTTTCTTGCAGGATTAAATGCAGAATTTGACCAAGTTAGAGTTTAGATCCTCGACAAAGAGGAGATGCCATCACTCAACGAAACCATTTCTCTCATCCGCAAAGAAGAAAGTCGACGAGGAGTGATGTTAGAACCAAAGGTCGTTGAAAGCTCAACAATAGTGATGAACAAAGAATCATCATGGAAGGAGAAAGGTAAATATTCTTCAAAATTCAAAGATAAAGACTTACTTTGATGCAGCTATTGCAAAAAGTCAAGACACACAAAAGAAACATGCTGGAAGATACATGGAAACCCCCCCAGCAAGGAGTGGAACCAAAAGGGTGAAACAAGAAGCACATCATATGCCAACAATACTACAAGTAAGCCAGAAGCACAGTCCAGTCTTGGAGAATTCAATAAAGAAGATATTGATAAATTGAAACGACTCTTGGTATCTCTTGAAAAACCAAATGCTTCTTTTTCACTTGCACTCTCAGGTAAGATTCCAATTTCTATTAGTTTAAGTGCTTCCAGAAATCATTTAAAGGAATTATGGATCATTGATTCAGGAGCCACAGATCATATAACTCACTCACCCACCCACCTCATAAACTATACTCCTTGCCCAAACAACAAAAAAA